ATTGGAGTAATATTCGACTTGAATTTTTTTTCATTATACGAAATTTTTTCCTGATTAGTCCATAATTGGTCACATAAGGATCATTTCCGAAAATCACTTAAACGCACATTGACAATCAAAGTCATCGGGATAAAATTCGACATAAATGTGTATCTATATATATAAAAATGAATGTGTGTTTATTTCTTTGTGGGTTTGTTTGTTTGTTTGAAGTCTATAGACGGCTAAACGGCTGGACCGATTTTCTTCAAATTTTAACAGTACCTTCCTGTATATCTGGAAGGAACTATAGGCTACTTTTTATTTTAAAATTTCAAGTAGGCGAGGTGCCACGCCTACTTATTAAAAAACTATTAAAAGTCATATGTCTTAGAAACTGATACAATTAGAGTCCTTAAATTTTGCAAGGACATCTTTGACATTCATAAGAATATTTTTGGAAAAAATGGTGGGCGTGGCACCTTCCATATTAAGAAAATATTAAATCAGTATATCTAGGAAAATTTAACAGTTAGAGCCCTCAAATTTGATCGCAGTCACATAAGTCTCAATATGATTAGTCAAGATAAAAAGTGGTCGGACTAGCAGCAGGGGGCGTGGCACCTCCCATATTAATTAAATACACAAATTCGCTTACCTTGGAAACTATTACAGTTAAAAGCTTCAAATTTACCACGAAGAACTTTAGCATCCATGTAAATATTTTGGGTAATAAATTGGCGGACTACCAATGGGGGGAGCGGCGGCTCCCATATGAATTAAATACAACAAAATATTTTATCTAGGAAACTAATAGAACTAGATTCCTAAAATTTTGCAAAAAGGACTTTCATATTCATCTGAACATTTTGGGGGAAAAAAGCGGACTTTCATCAGGGGGTGTCTTGGAACCCCCATCCATATGTATATATAACAAGTTAGAGTGCTATATTCGGCTGAGCCGAATCTTAAATACCCTCCACCAGCTACTTTTATATTAATACTTTTATTAATTGACCAAATATTTGAAGGAATAAGTTTTGTCTTAAATAGAAAAACCCCAAGATTTAAACAGCTAAAATCCAAAATTTATTGAACATTACATTTTCTTTTATATTTTTATAGCGCCCTAAGATATGCTTTAACGATATTTAATAATGTGCATGTATGCATGTGTGTGAAAGATTTAAGGATTTTCAAAATACATATAGGTACATATATAATTTTGTTCTACACAAATTGATAATGCAACTAGTTAAATACGGTTAAAGTGCTTTTAGGAGCAGGACCTAGTATGGGAGATATAACCAATTATAGACCGATTGTAAAAAAGTCTTTAAGCAAAATTTCTGTACATAAAAGCTATATTTCAGTCAAATTTTGTATCTATATCGTAATTTAGTAATAAGTAATGTGTTTTCAAGTGATTTTCTGAAGGGAACCTTGCATAGGACCGACCGCACCCATGTTATGGACCGATCGTGAAAAAATCTTGAAATAGAATTTTTGTATACCAAACGAATATTTGTGCCAATTTTTGTATCAATAGCTTTATTTGGTAATGAGTAATGGGCGTTTAAGAGATTTTCGTAAAAGGACCTTGTATGGGAGCTATGACCAATTATGTTCAAAATTCTGTATCTATATCATTATTGGTAATGAATATTGTGCATTTAAGTGATTTTCTGGAGGGGACCTAGTATGAGAGCTATGACCAAATATGGACCGATTGTAAAACAATTTTATAGTGTAATTTATGTATATAAGAGCAATATTTGTGCTAAATGTACGGATATCAATATTTTGTAATGAGTTATGTGCGTTTGATTTTCGGGAGGATACTTTGTATGGCCGATCGGAAAAAAATTTCATAGTAATATTTCTGTATATGTGAGCAATACCTGTACCAAATTTTATATGGATATCTTAATTTAGTAATGAGTTATGTGCGTTTAAGTGATTTTCGGGAGAGGAGCTTGTATGGGAGCTATGACCAATTATGGACCCATCCAGAAATTTTTTTCTTTAAGTTGTAAAATTTTGGGAAGATATCAGCATTCTGACGGAAGTTATTAACAAAAAACTCATTTTCCGGGAATATGTACTTTTGTATGGGAGGTATATGAAATTAGGGACCGATTCTGGAAATTTTCAGCAGGAATCAAGATATGTGTAGAAACGAATGTATGATGACTTTCATTGAAATTATCTTGCATAGTTTTCGAGAAAATTACTTTAGAATGTGTAAAAAATGCTTATTTTTTTCGGAGTTGTTTTAAATTGTGATTCATAACTTTTCCCGATGTGAACCGATTTTGCTCATTTTCAATATCAAACTGTACCAGATAATAATGAATATTTTGGGTGAATTTGGTTAAATTATATTGCTTCGTTTTAACGTGAGCGTGTTTTACACAGACAGACGGACGGACGGACAGACGGACATAGCTAAATCGACTCAGAATTTCATAAGGACCCAGAATATATATACTTTGTTGGATCTCAGATGAATATTTCTTGGTGTTACACACGGAATGACAAACTTATATATACCCTCTATCACCACTGATGGTGGTGGAGAGTATAAAAAATGAATGTGTGTTTGTTTGTGGGTTTGTTTGAAGTCTATAGACGGCTAAACGGCTGGACCGATTTTCTTCAAATTTTAACAGTATCTTCCTGTATATCTGGAAGGAACTATAGGCTACTTTTTATTACCTCTTATATGAATTAAATACAACAAAATATTTTATCTAAGAAGCTAAAAGAACTAGATTCCTAAAATTTTGCAAAAAGGACGTTTATATTCATCTGAACATTTTGGGGGAAAAAAGCGGACTTTCACCAGGGTGTCTTGGGACCCCAATATGAATTATATAGAAAAATTTGCGGAAAAATGGGCGGACTTTCAATGGGGGGATTGGCCCCTCCCATATGAATTAAATACAATACAATATTATTTACATTTTTCATAGCTTGCATTCAAATCCATAGTAGCGTTCGGAAAAATTGCCGAACTTGTAATAATTTGAGTGGCATCTCCCATGTGTAAGTGGGTTTTTTTGCTTTTAGGGTAGCAAAGCACACTGGATATAGCTAGTTTTGTACATATAAAACGTTATACGGAATTTTACTTCTGAAAATCACTTAATACCACTTAATTCATTATTAAATGATTATATCCAGATAAAATTCCACATGAGTATCTTTGTGTAAAGATAAGTCATCCTACCTCAGTCAACCTAATCAAAATTAGTTCAACATATGCATAAATGTTAGTACCCTCACTACGGAAACAAAATTGTTGTCAAGTTATCTAAAAATTGGATAGTTAAATGGGTGTTTATATTCAGTAGAGCACAATATAGGTTTATTCAGAAGAATGCAAAATACCAATTATTAATTTTTTCTTCAAATAAAAACTTCACTTTATTGAGTAGCTTGCCTGTTACTTCATGGGATATTACAATTCAACTGAACATCATTTGTAATATTCTACTTAAAACTTAAAAAACAAGAGATATCATCTCATCTCCAAGAGAGGATATTCTTCGTCAAAAAAATACAATTCAACAATGATAATAAATATAAAGACAGTTGTATCCACTGTTTTGACGATTTATCGTCATTTTGACGATTTTCACTGTCAAAAATGGCCTGTTGACGATTTGACGATTTTAACCCTAAATTTGATGATTTTTTAAAATATGATTTTTGTACTAATTTTAATACATTTTTATCATTTTTCTGTCTATAATTTTTAAGAACATCGATGTATTTAGAATATACAATGAAAATGTTAATAAAATTAAACATTATAATGTTTTAGAGAATGTCCATTGATCGAATGAATTACGTAATAACGATCTCAAAAATGTTTGAGAATTTCTCTTTTTTTGGGCCAGCACTTAGGGGTTATTGGATCTAGAATAATTGGTAGTGGGAAGAAGGATAGAGGAAGTAGTGTTTTTGGACATTTGATTTAATGGAGGAACTTTGTTTTGCATACAACTAATTGAAACATCTAATATACATACATTTACTAGGGATCATACCAAGTTAGTCTGCAAGAACTCAATGCATTCGTAATTCAGCTCTGGGTGGGGGAGGATCGTCGTGCGTCGTTGCCATTATCGCTTAAGAGGAATCTGGACGTTCTTTTTGCTCTGCCTTCGTGAGTTTTACGTTTCGAACCTCATTGGTCAATTGTGTGACGTGGAATAACGGCCAAGAAGTCTTAGCTGCAGATGCAGCTTAGCAAACTTAAAGTACAAACAAACAAAAAAACTAAAACTCGATAGTTAAAATAATTACTATAAAATCGTAAAAATACCACCAAACATGTATATTATATAAATGAAGCTTTGACGATTTAATGACGATTTCGAAAAATTAGTTGACGATTTTTTCCTCGAAATTTGACGATTTTACACCCAAATCATCTGGCAACTATGGTTGTATCTATAATTATAGATATACGTACATATGGAAATTATTCTAAGACTGAACATCCCGCCCCGCTTGAAGTATTGCAATTTCATAAAAACAAGCATGGAGGATATTATGGAGTTAAGTTCAGAAAATATATAAAGATATATAACTAATACGGATATGTGTACTACAATAGAAAATATACCATGCACTATTTTAATACATTTTTAATTCATTTAAATTCATAAATACTGTAGAAGACTATATAGATATAAAGATAGTTATTCAAAATAATCAAGGTTTAGCAGTTACGTTAATGACAATGGTGGGGGCACCTTTCGCTGGAGCAATAAGTTGTGGTTGGGATTGTACTTGGTTAGGTGATGACCGACGCGATCCAGAAGGTAGGTAGTTACTGTTTGTTGAACTATTTCTCACGGTTAGTCTTTAAGCGTCGAGGTTGTGTTGACCTAGTTACTGGAAATTAGAAAATTAATTAGTTAATTTGTCTCAATAGGAGGTAATAATACGAGTTTAACTATTGGTCTGGCTATTAGTCTTCGAGAGGCACAAACTTGCGCAACTTGCACTTAAGAATCTGATCCAGGCATAACCTTTTCAATTCTACCCAGTAACCACTGGGTGGGTGGTAAATTATCTCGTCCTACGACCACTAAATCATTGGGAGAAACGTTTCTTTCTGGATACTGCCACTTAGTACGTTTGTGCAGTTCCTTGAAATAATCTTCCTTCCACCTTATCGCGAAATTCTGGTGCAGAATTTTCAGCGTTTGCCTTCGATTGGCAATGCTTAGTGACCTAGCGGAAGCGTCAACTTCAGCTGGTGCTAAGAGAGGAGATCCTACCAAGAAGTGGCCAGGGGTTAAAGCCTTAAGTTCGTTTGGGTCATCACTGACTGGACAAAGGGGTCTAGTGTTCAAGCATGCCTCTATCCTACTCAACATTGTATTGAACTCTTCATAAGTAAATTTTTGAGCGTGACGGATTTCAATTCAAAATTTTGAGCTACATGAGTACGTTTGGGTTTTATTTCCTCATTAGTTTCAAACCTTCTACGATTTGAAGGCCATGAAAGGCGAGCTAGCCTAAGCCAATACGGACCACGCCACCATAGTTCGTTATTAACCAGGTCACTAGCCGAGCAACCACGAGAGGCTATGTCCGCCGGGTTATCCTTAGAGTCAACATGAGACCATAAATCAGCATTCACAGTCTCAGTTATAGAAGCTGCACGATTGGCTACAAAAGTATTCCAATGAAAGGAGGGTTTCTGCAACAATGCAAGGACGATCGTTGAGTCTGTCCTCATATAGGTGCGGTAATTCGAAGGAGAAAAATTGGATTTGAAGTACTTAAACAACTTGATAAGAAGCTCTGCACCACAAAGTTCCTTTGCTGCGTAGGTCTTCTAGGGCTTAATAACCTCATCCCAACCCGTATTATCCTTCCAGATCTGTTGAATTATTATTTTAGCAACAATTAACTTGGGGGCTAACCATCCAGCACGGTCAAATAACTTGGCTATCTCTGACATTACAGTTCTTTTAGTATAAAGATTTGTGTTAGGATGTTTAATGGGGTTGAAATAGAAATAGTCGTTACCAGCGTTCCATCGTAAACCTAATGGTTTCGAAATACACAAGTCTGAGAGATTCATAAAATCTGTATCCAATATATGAGCGGGGTTTAAATCTTTCAAGATAGATGTGTTATTGGCTGTCCACATTCTTAATGAGAATCCCACTGAGTCTAACTTTACGCCCTACTTCTTTACGATAAGTAGTACCCTTATATAGATCCTCACAGTATCTATCGTAATCTGATAGTTGCGCATTCCGAGGGACTTCTTCAAGTTCCCAAAAAAAAATTAAGCAAATATTCCACGTTAATTTCGCCTCCTAAGAGCAGGTCTATCTGAGAACCTGTATGATTGTCAGTATCAGCTAATGGTAAGCCAGAGAAATCAGATCTACTTGATGCTGAATAGGGGTGGCAAGGCAACTGTCCTGTAAGTTTCCAGACCACAAAAACTTTAACATTAGAAGAGAATAACGGTTCCAGAGGCGATCTGATTAATATGGAACAGGTATGGGTAGATGTTGTAGTTATAGGACCACTTAGTCCTAAGATGTCCATTTGTGAGAGTCTAGAAGGTAAGTATAATTTTCTCTGAATGGATCTAGATATGAATGATGCTTCGGGTGCGGGATCTATTGGGGCTCGAACGCTATGGGTAATATTACCTACATTGATATGTACCAAAGCCGTTCGAATAATTATTGAGTTCGATGGGGTGGACTGCAAGTGAGTGGGGTAATCAGTGAGAGATACCGTTGATGGGACATTTTGAGCGGAATTCATAGGAGATGGAGCAGAAGAAGTATCGCGATGTAGGAGCGAATGATGTTTCTTTTTGCAAATCGTACATACATATGGACTTTTGCAATTCGCGAAGTAATGTGAGGTGTCAAAGCAGTTATTGCAGCGTTTTTAACTTCTTATCGTAGCAAATCGTTCCTCGACAGACATTTGCAAAAAAATGGGACACAAATGAAGGGGATGAAAATCTTGACACAAAAAACACTTGATTGCCTTATTTTTGGAAACGTTGGTATTGTAAGCATTTACCTTTCGGTTCTCACGAGTACTAGAATCTACTTTAGACTGTTGGCTCTTTTTAGATGAATTTTGACTAGGGTAACAGGACCTTATGTCACTCACGGATTCTAAAGTATGAAATCGGCTAGTTGCTGTTGTTCACCGTACAGAGGTGAAAATTGGTCTCTAAAAGTCGGCCACGAGTCATAATATTCGTTAAAACTGTCCATGTCACAGGGCGGTAAATTAATGCGATTATTCAACCTAACTGGGTTGTTTAAATTGTCATCAGATGGGGTAATTCGTACATTCAACAAATCTAGGAGCTCGTTTGCCTTGGAAAGACATTTGAGATGGGCGCTGTATGCAACATAGAATTTGTTTTTCACAGTTTCTATCGTTACTTCCTCCTCCAAAGAAGAAATTTTTTCCAAAAGGTTGTCGTACGCAGTGCGTAATGTTGTCCAAAGGTGAACTATTTCATCCTTTTGGATCTCTAGACTGTGTATCGTATGTTCCTCGTGAGGAACAGAGGAAAAATACACGTGGAATTCCACCACTCGATCAGAAGCGTGTATAAAACTATCTAACTCTGACATTATAGTTAGTGTGTGTATTCAATTCTTAATTAAGATGATAAGATTCAATTCAAATTTCGTGTTAAAATTCTAAAACTACCAAAAAAAGTAGTAAATTCGTATGCGCAACTAAGGGGTTAAATCTCATGAAATCTTCCAACAGTAGAAGAGATATGTAGAACAAAGAGGTTTTTTATAAAAATTAAGAGAGTTTAAAAAGGGTTGATTAATGTGCAATTATAATAGAAAACTACTAGGAAACTTTGAAAAATAACTATTCTTTTTGATCCAAAAGAAAAACCAACCACACTGTTAATAAGAAATAATGATTAACACTTAATTCATCTTCTACTTATTAAATTATTCAAATTATAGAATGCTCTCTCTTTCTTCGTTCTCTTTCACACTATCGATAACAAAAAAAGTAGCTATACAATAAATTCTTGTTTACTTTTGCAATTTGTATAGATTCAATGTTGAAACAGATAATTAAAAAGCTCTTTACATAGAACAATAAATACCCAGCGGTAAATGAAACAAAGTACTTAGATAATATTCGATGACATCAGTATGACGTTCTAAGCGAGCAATCTAAGTACTTAGAGTGCAATATATGCGTAATCCAACATATCATGATGCATTTTAATTATAACATAGATTACGATTTAAGCAGAGAGTTATCTGCCTTTTTCATGTTTTTTTTTTTTGTTTTTATTTCTTTATAAAAAAACTTAACTAAAGTACCGTTTTATTTTTCTTTTGTATACTACATACATGAAAAGAAGAATATTTTTGTTTCAGTTTAAAGTTGATCTTTTGTAAGTGACGTTGTGTTTTGTTAAAAAAGTTATTTTATTGTAAAAATTTAAAATAATTGTGGTGATCTAAATGGCAGAAACGGACTTAAAAATTGGGGTAAATTTACTTCATATATTCTTGTTTTAATACTGACAATTTCCTCTTGATTATTTACAGGATCTCTAAAGGAAGATGACCGAAAGTTTCAAAAGAAAATTAAGATTCATTTCATTTATCTTCGTTAAAATTGTTTAATTATATTTTTATTGAATTAACTATAATACATGTTTATTATTTGATGATAATTTTTAAATAAACTTGCATAATTTTAAAATAAATATAAAAAGTATATATTTTTTCTATAACAAATGCAAATAGGATTGTAATCTACATACATTACATTCTTATTTCCAAGCGTTTATAGGCGTCTTATTAACTTCGCTTAGAACTCCACACATTATGTAAGTGAAATTTTAATTTGTCTTAATGACATTGTGGCTTATATTCTAAGCGAGAGCACATCGATGAGGCAGCCTAGGACACTTTTATGTTAAATCTAAGTGGAAGAATAAGTGAAAGCATCACCACTGACTGCCAGGAAATATCACTTAGATAAGCGAGTACATAATGTGTATTTTTACCGCTGGGTAGAACTGAAACTGAGCGTAAGAAACATAGATGACATAGATCATAGATAATACACAAAAAAAAAACGATTCGGACACAATTTGTATAACAAAAACACACATTTTTTTATTTTTTTACAATTTTTTTAATATAATTTCTTTATCAAAATCTTTTTAATTTTCACAAACAAAAAAATGTATTTTTAAACTAATACTTCAAAGAAAATCCTATTAATACATGCTTAGAGTTAGGTTTTTTGACAGCTGAGTTAGGTTTTTTCGGAGAGAGTTGGCTGTCTAGTCTACTCTATGCTAAGCAGTGTTACCATATGTCAAGTTTTCCCTTTTTTTGCAAGTTTTTTGAGATTCAAAAAAGTTTTCAAGTTTTATTCCAATAAAAAAAGTTTTTTTAAAATTTATACAGTTTCTCAGTTTTTATTTTATTTAATCAATAAATAAGTTTAAAATAAAAAAACAATGTTTACCATTAACAAAATAATATTTTATACCATTAATATTCGAGATATTCCTAAAAACTGAAAAAAATTAACCGGTGTTGATGACCTTAATCCCTTAGAATAGACATTAAGGACACAGTGCACTTCGACCATATTGTAGAGATTTTGTGCAGCCCATTGGTTCACCATACTAGGCCAAATTCGCGCATGAAGATAAATGGATTAATCGGTGAGTGTTTGAAGATATCATCTGGGTCTGGGTAAGACAAAATCTTCGTGTTTCGAGTACCCAATGACGGGTAGTTACAAAAGTTCAGAGGTTTCCTCTTGTAGTATACAGAATCTACATAGATTCATCATGACATTTCAAGTGTAAATTTATGGTGTCTAAGACCACAATATCCAGTAATTCCTTGCTACTGATGTTAAGGAAAAGTTCTGTACCAATTATCATTAAGCTATTTAAAATTCCTCAATTTGCTCATTTTTTCACTAAATTTTCTTGGGTATTTTGTAATTTTAGTACAAAAAAAGTTTTTTTTGTTGAAAAAAAGTTTTTTTCATAAAAATAAAAAGTTTTCTTCAAAAAATATATGGCAACACTGATGCTAAGAAATATTACTCTCTCACATGTACAGGTTCTGTGTGAACTTGTATAAGTATTTTTATTTTTGTTTATACCCAGCGGGAAAAAATGGTAGGACTTCGATTTTTAGGCCTTCTAAGAGACATATTTACTAATTCTAAAAGATGCGATACTCATTCCTCATTGCCTTCTCGCGGAAGATATTCCACAAGCACATAGCTTCCCCTTCTTGTAGGATTCATGCACATTACAAGTTGCATTGCCAAACAAACAATTATTAAAATTATTTTTATATATTGGCTCTCTAAAATCGACTCTATAAAATTTATTTTGCCCTCTTTTTTATAAACCGCTACCTGAAAACAGAAGAATGTATTTTTTTACATTCCAAATAAAATTTAGTCTTTTGCAAAACTTTATGTTGTAAAGTTCTCGTAAAGTAGGCTTTTATAATTAAAAATACGCATGTGCCAATTTCTTATGTTTAATGTCGAATTTATTAATAATGTCTTCCCTAATAACCCATGCTTCCGCATGCTTTGTAGAATGTCTGCTTAGGTAATTATATTAAAAGTCTTAGGATAAGAATTTATCAATTTTTTATGAAAATTTATTTTATAAAACTTTGATAAACTCCCATGAATATATCCCTAAAACTTTTATAA